TATTTCCTGTCTCCCTGGTCATGGGACATTAACACATGGTGACAATTATCTCCCTAGATGCTTTGAAATGACTACCTCCTGTGACTACAGGCATCACATAGACTGGGTGATGTGGGGTCAAAGATGTGATCAAGAGCCACATCTCCTTGGGGAGTAGAATCAGGCAATCATTAGCCCCTCCCCAGGCTTCCAAGTGTGGTGGAGGGCCAGAGGTTGATAGATTACAGCACTGCCACGGACTCCTGTCTAGTCATGAGCAGATCACAGCACCTCTCTGAAGCCCATTTCCCTATTCATCAAAGGAGGCAATGATTCCTTCTCACTCAGCTTCCTTCATGAGGAGGAGTGAGTGAAACAATGGGTGTGACAGCACTTTGTTGAGGATGACATCTGATATCAATGTGAAGGGTTGTTGTGTTGACCATCACCCTGGTCCACCCAGCCTGTGATTTAGTCCTGGATGGAGTCCTAATCTCTGTTTCAATGGGTTCAGTATGTTTTCTCAAACTGGAATCTCTCCACTCAATCTGATCATTCTGGGAGGACTCACCCCAAAAGACCAGCACCAGATGCCCTGCCCTTTCTCTGGAAAGCTGCCCTAACCTTCTCTCAGCAACAAAGAAGGAAAAGGAACAAGAAAGCAGTAGACAGGATGAGATGCTGAGACCATGACAGAGATGTCCTGGGCAAGCCCATAGATCTTGGTTAACATAAACCCATCAGACCTTCCTAAATGTCTCACCACCTGCCTGAGGATCACTATTTTCCTGGTGTTTGGTTTAGCTAGGGACTCTTGTACTGACAAAAGTGGGCTCTAAAATTTCTTAGAAACTCATGGGAGTTTGTCTCCCCCCAGTCAACTGCAAGTCTGTTCCCCTGGCCCATGGCAGGGTCTCAGCAAAGGGCCATGAGGTTCCAAAATCCCACATGGAGACTTGGAGTCATCGGCCACGATGTCGACTCATGGAGAGCAGCAGCGTCAAGGAAAGAGGTCATAACAGGGAGACCAGCTTGAGGTCTGGTCCTCCTAGCTCCCGGCCTGAGCAGCCTCAGATTCCTCAGAGGTAAAATGAGGAGCCTGAACTGAGTCAATCGCCCTCTTCTTCATCCTGATATCAGGTGGTCTGCCTTCATCTAGTTCTTGACAGAGTCTCTGACCTCCCAACAACCTAAGAGCCCGCCCTACCTGTCCCCCCCGCCCCAAAACTCCACTAGTGTTCACCCACTAACCTTAGATACCTCGGGGCGGGGGTCAAGGGTTTAAGCATCACATGAATGCTAATGAATTAGTCACACGGCTAACGTTTAGCTAGACCTACCTACCCCTCCAGGGCTCAGAATATCTTAAACTTGTTACAGATTACAGGGCTCCAGAAGGAAAGTGGAAAATTCTGAGGCGAAAAACCTTTTTCCTATTGATTCATGGCTCATAGAATAGGGTGAAAGTGAAAGTTGCGACCCCATGGACAATACAGTCCATGGAATTCTCCAGGCCAGAATACTGGAGTGGGTAGCCTTTCCCTTCTCCAGGGGGTCTTCCCAATCCAGGGATTGAACCCAGGTCTCCCACACTGCAGGCGGATTCTTTACCAGCTAAGGATAGGGTGCTTGTCATAAGAACCACCTAAGCATGCTTAAAATGCTGAAAATGTAGATTCCTGGGCTCTGCCAGCAGATACTGGTCCTGCAGGTCTGAGTAAGGGATGTGGGAATCTGCAGTTCACAAGAGCACTGATGATTCTGCTTGCAGGGTCTATGAGAACTGCTTGGGTATGCGCCTGCTGTTGGGGGAGGGCAGCCCAGGGCACCTGGACCTTGTGACAGATGCATAATTTTGTTCTACCTGCATAACATGGGGTGTGACTCGGCTGCTCTCTGAGGCCGCATGTAGTTTGGGGATTGAGTCCTCAGGCCTGACGCATAGAGCCTCAGTTTGAATCTGGTGTACTAAGTTGCTTCAGTCATATCCAACACTTTGTGACCTTATGGACAGTGGTCTGTCTGTGGGATTCAGGCAAGAATGCTGAAACGGGTTGCCATTTCCTTCTCCAGGGGATCTTCCTGATCCAGGGATCGACCCTGTGTCTCCCGCACTGGCAGGCGGGTTCTTTACCACTAGCACCACCTGGGAAGCCCTCAAATCTGGCTTCTGTTAACAAAACAAACTAACCTTAGCTAGACTGACCAAGAGTTAAGAGTGATGACTCAAATTACTAGAACTAGGAATGAGAGAGGGGACACATGCATGCTAAGTCGCTTCAGTCATGTTTGACTCTGTGCGACCTATGGACTGTAGCCTGCCAGGCTCCTCTGTCCATACGATTCTCCAGGAAAGATACTAGAGTGCGTTGCCATGCCTTCATCCAGGGGATCTTCCTGACCCAGGGATGGAACCCATGTCTCTTATGTCTCCTGCATTGGTAGATGGGTTCTTTACCACTAGTGTCACCTGAGAAGCCTGAAAGAGGGGATAACTTTACATAAATAAGAGGGATTACAAGAAATGATCACATGATCAATTGTATACACTAACAAATTAGCTAACATAAGTGAAACAAGTTCAGAAAGATATAAACTATACACACTACTATACAAAATAGATAACTAACAAGGACCTACTTTATAGCACAGGGAACTATACTCAATATTTTGTAATAATCTATAAGGGGAAGGAATCTAAAAAGGAATATACTTATATACATGAATCACTGTGGTGTACACCTGAAACTAATATACAATATTGTAAATCAACTGTATTTCAATTTAAAAAAATTTAAGATCCTAAAAGAAAAGATATAAACTACCAAAGCTGACTCCAGAAGAAACAGAAAATCTAAACAGATCTACAATGAGTAAAGAGATTGGATTACTAATAATTTAAAAAAAAAAACATCTTACCACAAAGAAAAGCCTAGGATCAGATGGCTTTATTGATGAGTTTTACCAAATGTTTAAAGAACAATGAACACCAATACTTTATAAACTCTTCCAAAACACAGGGGAGGAGGGAAAACTTTCCAACTCATTTTATAAGGCCAGTATTACTCTGATACCAAAACTGGACAAAAATATCACAAGGAAACTACAGGTCAATACCCCTTGTAAATATGAATACAGAATTCTTCCTCAAAATACTAGCAAACCTAATCTAGCAACATATAAAAAGATTATACACCATGACCACCACGACCAATTGGGATTTATCCTTGAAATGCAAGGTTGACTCAATGTCTGAACATCAATCAACATGATATACCATATTAATAGAATAAAGGACAAATCTGGGCTCTGCCACATACTAGTTGTGTTTCCTAAGGTACTTTACCTTAGGAAAGTACCTTGGGCCCTTTAAACAAGTTTCTCCATCTGTAAAAGAGAGACTGTGAAACTGATTGCTTAGTATTGCTATGAGAATGGAATTGTGCACACAGCATGTGCTCAATAATGGTCATCTAACCCTAAGCACATCATCATAAGGAGACAGTCCACTGGGAGGGGCCTAGTTTATCTGCTCAGGTGTTTATTCCCTGATCACTTTTCAGATGAAGAGACTGGAGTAGAAGGGCTGACATGGTCTGCTCACCTGGATGGTAAACACCACTAACACTCCTACCCCTGTCTCCAAACCTTTGTTCCCATTCCAGCCCTACCTGGAATGACCATCTAAACCTCTTCAGTTCAGTTCAGTTGAGTTGCTCAGTCGTATTACTTTGCGACCCCATGAATTCCAGCATGCCAGGCCTTCCTGTCCATCACCAACTCCCGGAGTTTACTCAAATTCATGCCCATCGAGTCGGTGATGTCATCCAGCCATCTCATCCTCTGTCGTTCCCTTCTCCTCCTGCCCCCAATCCCTCCCAGCATCAGGGTCTTTTCCAATGAGTCAACTCTTTGCATCAGGTGGCCAAAGTACTGGAGTTTCGGCTTCAGCATCAGTCCTTCCAATGAACACCCAGGACTGATCTCCTTTAGGATGGACTGGTTGGATCTCCTTGCAATCCAAGGGACTCTCAAGAGTCTTCTCCAACACCACAGTTCAAAAGTATCAATTTTCCGGCACTCAGCTTTCTTCAGAGTCCAACTCTCACATCCATACATGATCACTGGAAAAACCATAGCCTTGACTAGACAGACCTTTGTTGGCAAAGTAATGTCTCTGCTTTTTAATATGCTATCTAGGTTGGTCATAACTTTCCTTCCAAGGAGTAAGCGTCTTTTAATTTCATGGCTGCAATCACCATCTGCAGTGATTTTGGAGCCCAGAAAAATAAAGTCAGCCACTGTTTCCACTGTTTCCCCATCTATCTGCCATGAAGTGATGGGACCAGATGCCATGATCTTAGTTTTCTGAATGCTGAGCTTTAAGCCAACTTTTTCACTCTCCTCTTTCACTTTCATCAAGAGGCTCTTTAGTTCTTCAGTTTCTGCCATAAGGGTGGCGTCATTTAAACCTCTTAGGCCAGTGCAAATCCTCCTCAGCTCAAACCCCACACTCACACGGCCTTCCTCATACATGCTGACCTTTCTCCCTTCTCTAAGTGCCCAGTTTGTGTGCGTGTGTGCGTGCGTGCCTGTGTGTGTGTGTAGCGCTCAGCTGTGTCTGACTCTTTGCAACCCCTTGGACTGTAGCCCACCAGGTTTCTCTGTCCATGGAATTTTCCACACAAGAATTTTTCACTGGAGTGGCTTGCCATTTCCTACACAGGGATCCATCCCTGGGTCTCTTGCCTCTCCTGCACCGCAGGCAGATTCTTCACCCCTAGAGTCACCTGGGGAGCACCACACACTTTATTCAAAAGCTGACTGACTCCTCCTCTACCTCTTTCTAGTCTACGACATTGAGGATAAAGCACTTCACTTCTCTGAGCCTGGGTCCGCAAAAGGAAAATGCTGTGTCGCAAAGGACAAGAGGGACCCAGGAAGGGCGCGGCGGGGACCAACCGGAAGTCAGAACTATCTGCTTCCAAAGCTGGAAGCTGCCGCCGGCAGCCCACACTCACTTGGCCGGGTGGAAGATGGCGCTCATCTCCTCCGCCAGGTGCCTCCGGAGGATGTGCTTTCCGCTGGGGATGCCCAGGGCGGTGGCCATGGCCTCAGCGTTGAACGTGGGTTCCAGAACCAGCACTGCACCGTGGACGCCACTGTTGGTCAGGTTGTCTGCGTACTCCTGAGGGCAAGGCACGAGGCTGGTGAGCCTGGGGGGCCGCCCTGCTGGCCTGAGGGTGGGGATACCCCAGGGGGGATATGTCCTCAAAAGCAAGGGCTTGCCCCCCGCCCCCCGGGATTAGTGCACTTAATCCTGAGGGATTAAAAAGCCCTCACTCTTTTTAGGGCCTTGAGAATAGCGACTGGGTTATTTTGTCACTGATTAGACCCCAGACCTAGGCAGGCAGCCCATAAATGTTGAGGGAGAAGACGGCTGGCTGTGGAGTCAACCCCCCACTGGCTTCAGAGAGGATGACTCAGCATCCGCACCCTCACTATGGGAGGGGAAGGGGTGGGCAGGGGGAGTAGTTCTGGCCTTTTGAGTGACAGGAGGCAGGCTGTTCTTGCCGGCCTAGGAAACGATGCCCAGCCCACACTTAAAGATGGATACTGAATTTGCACACAGACTGGCATGGGATTTGCATATGCCCAAGAGCCACCCCTCCCACGTCCGCCATCACCCCTCACCTTCAAGTCAATGTCTCGCACCCACTTGAGCACCCGCTGGTTGGTCCAGACCACGGGGTCTATGTTCTGTGTCTCGCAGTGGGCCCGGCGCTCCTGGAGAGCCTGTGGGGAGGGAGAATGGGTCAGCTGCCGGGGCCGGGGGGGCATGCGGAGATCACACAGGGAGCAAGGGTCCGTGGTGCTGGCAGGGACCTCGGCATGCTGACGCGAGGGATCCTGGCCAGATCATCCACAGCTGCTCTAGCCATGTCAGTCCTTTCCTTCTGGGAAATGGGGAGAAGCCTGCTTCCAGGGATGGAGGAGCCTAGAGGCAGAGCCACCTGCCTGCAGAGTGTGGGGCCAGGTGGGGCCCTTGGCAGCTGCCTAGTTTGTGTAGCCCAGGCCCCACCTGCCTGGTTTGTATAGCCCAGCCCTGCTCACCTGACTTGGAATAGGGGCTCAGTGCATGTCTGTTAAAGGATGCCCCTAAATGAGGCTGCCTATTTCCACACTTCACTGTCATGTTCTTCCCACGCTCATCTCCTGTACCAGACTGTGGCTCACTGGGGGCCAGGGCCTGTGTCCTCATCACTTCCTGTGCCCAGGGCTCTGACTTGGGTGTTTGAGAAGGCCTAAAAGCCCTCCCTTCAGTCCCTCTCCCCCTGCCCCTGAACTACTTGTGCTATGACAGTGCTCTGAGAAGAGTAGGCCGTTTACACTCATCCCCGGCAGCCCAGGGCCCCTCCCTTGGGGGAGCAGCTGGGGAGATGTACTAGGTTTGGGGGAAGCTGAAGCAGACACCCTGGGCTCTCTGGCTTGGCAGTGATCAGAACAAGGGGCACTCAGAGTCCAGACTCTACAATGTGCCTCACAACCTCCTGGTTACCTGTCAGCATCCCCATTCACTCCCCCACCTCAAACCCAGGACAGAACCACACGGGACTCTCAGCTCTGCTGCTGCAGACCTATCCTCTGGGTCTTAGTCTATGCTGTTCCCTTGCTGGATTGCTTTTCCCCTCATACCTTCTATTAACTGGTACCTAGAATTCCTCCCTTCAGGTCTCAGTTTAGCTGTTACTATTGCTGGAAAGGCTTCTCTTGTCCCTCTGAAAGCTTTTCCTCTGAGTTTTCGTAAAACCCCGCCCCCACCCCTCATTGGGACAACCTTCCATGATGCTGTGGCCACAAGCATCTTTGTGGTTGCCTGGAGGATGAGTGTTTCCCTTTTCCCCTGAATTGAGCACAGGGTCTGGTCCATTCCCCAATAAGCAGTTGTTGAAAGGAGGGAGGGAGAAAGAAAGGGATGGATGCGTGGATTGATAGACAGGTGGATGGATGGATGGAGAGATGTGTGGATGGGCAGAGAGTGGATGCATGAAATGATGGACAGTGGATGGATGGATGGATGGAGAGATGTGTGGATGGGCAGATGGTTGGATGGACAGATAACAGATGCCAGAAGGGAAAGCAGGGCTGCAGAAGGTGCCCTGAACCCTGGTTCTCACCTCCCTGCTGAAGTTGACTTGGTAGAGCAGCTCGATCCCCAGCAGGATGCTGACCTGGTGGAACTTCTTGGACACATTCAAGTGCTTCTCCAGGTCCCGCTTCATCAGGGAGTTAAGCATCCGCCCGTCGACCAGGTGGTTTTGGAAGGCCTGGGAGTACTGGGACAGGCCGATGTCATTGAGCCAGGCCTTGGCCACCCAGTGATGGTCCAGGTCAGCGGCTTTGGACAGGCTGGCGAGGAGAGACACAGCCAGAGAGAGGGATGGGTGGGGAAAGGTGGCAGAAACAGAGACAGGGAGAAATAGGGCAGAGATGACCAGAGAGAGAAGCAAAATAACGGGGTTGGGGGACCAAGAAAGTCACACAGATAGATAGGAACAGTGATGGAGTGGAGAGACAGAGAGAAAGACAGAGGGCAGCAAGGGGAGAGGCAGATGCAGGGGAGAGAGGAGGAGACAGGGAGAGACAAGGGGAGAGAGGGACAGAGACATAGGAGAGAGACAGAGGCACAGAGAGGAGAGATACACAAGGGAGACAGAGACAGAGGGAGAGACAGAAGCAGGGAGCAAGCCCCAAAGAATAATAAAGAATCAACAGACAGAGGGTGCAGGAGGGAAAGAGACCACATTCAGACACACTTAGAGTGGGAAGGGACAATGACAGCACCTCGGGAATGAATGCAGCAGTAAGCAGCACCTCTGGGGACCGGGTACCTTCCAAAGCCCCGCCCTGCCCCACCTCCATCCCAGAGGCCACTGCAGAATCCCTGAGGCCCAAGAACCTTGGCTGGGGCCAATCTCTCCTTGGACTTTGCCCAGAGTCACAGAGTGGCACGTCTTGGAATCAGATTTAAACCCCAAGTTTTGCTTATTCCAACTCCTCTCCTCACCACCATATCTTAGATTATCTGTATCCCACACTGAACTTCTCCCAGTGCCGAATGTGTGCGTGTATAGTAGGTGCACAAGGAATACTTCCCAAGTGGACAAAAGGATGGTCTCCTCAGCTGTTATTCCCCTGTTTACCACATGGTGGGAGCCTTGAAGAAGGAATGAGGACAGTGCCTCCCACTGCGGAAGGACTTTTAAAAAATGACCTGAGGTTGCTTGCAACTCCTGCAGCTCAATTCCAGAAAAATAAATGACCCAATCAAAAAATGGGCCAAAGAACTAAACAGACATTTCTCCAAGGAAGACATACGGATGGCAAAAAAACACATGAAAAGATGCTCAACATCACTCATTATCAGAGAAATGCAAATCAAAGCCACAATGAGGTACCACTACACGCCAGTCAGGATGGCTACTATCCAAAAGTCTACAAGCAATAAACGCTGGAGAGGGTGTGGAGAAAAGGGAACCCTCTTACACTGTTGGTGGGAATGCAAATTAGTACATCCACTATGGAAAACAGTGTGGAGATTCCTTTAAAAGCTGGAAATAGAACTGCCATATGACCCAGCAATACCACTTCTAGGCATACACACTGAGGAAACCAGATCTGAAAGAGACATGTGCACCCCAATGTTCATCGCAGCACTGTTTATAATAGCCAGGACATGGAAGCAACCTAGATGCCCATCAGCAGACGAAAGGATGAGGAAGCTGTGGTACATATACACCATGGAATATTACTCAGCCATTAAAAAGAATTCATTTGAATCAGTTCTAATGAGATGGATGAAACTGGAGCCCATTATACAGAGTGAAGTAAGCCAGAAAGATAAAGACCATTACAGTATACTAACACATATATATGGAATTTAGAAAGATGGTAATGATAACCCTATATGCAAAACAGAAAAAGAGACTCAGATGTATAGAACAGACTTGTGGACTCTGTGGGAGAAGGCGAGGGTGGGATGTTTCAAGAGAACAGCATCGAAACTGTATATCTAGGGTGAAACAGATCACCAGCCCAGGTTGGATGCATGAGACAAGTGCTCGGGCCTGGTGCACTGGGAAGACCCAGAGGGATGGGGTGGAGAGGGAGGTGGGAGGGGGGACCGGGATGCGGAATGCATGTAAATCCATGGCTAATTCATTTCAATGTATGACAAAAACCACTGCAATGTTGTAAAGTAATTAGCCTCCAACTAATAAAAATAAATGGAAAAAAAAAATGACCTGAGGTAATGCCAGGCTTCAACGGTACCTGAACCGTGAACTTCCAGATGTTCAAGCTGGATTTAGAAAAGGCAGAGGAACCAGAGATCAAATTGCCAACATCCATTGGATCATCGAAAAAGCAAGAGAGTTCCAGAAAAACATCTATTTCTGCTTTATTGACTGTGCTAAAGCCTTTGACTGTGTGGATCACAAAAACTATGGAAAATTCTTAAAGAGACGGGAATACCAGACCACCTGACGTGCCTCCTGAGAAATCTCTGTATGCAGGTCAAGAAGCAACGGTTAGACCTGGACATGGAACAACAGATTGGTTCCAAATAGGAAAAGGAGTACGTCAAGGCTGTATATTGTCACCCTGCTTATTTCACTTATATGCAGAGTACATCATGAGAAATGCTGGGCTGGGGAAGCACAAGCTGGAATCAAGATTGCCGGGAGAAATATCAATAACCTCAGATATGCAGATGACACCACCCTTATGGCAGAAAGTGAAGAAGAACTAAAGAGCCTCTTGATGAAAATAAAAGAGGAGAGTGAAAAAGCTGGCTTAAAGCTCAACATTCAGAAAACTAAGATCATGGCATCTGGTCCCATCACTTCATGGCAAATAGATGGAGAAACAATGGAAACAGTGACAGACTTTATTTTTTTGGGCTCCAAAATCACTGCAGATGGTGACTGCAGCCATGAAATTAAGTGACACTTGCTCCTTGGAAGAAAAGCCATGACCAACCTAGACAGCATATTAAAAAGCAGAGACATTACTTTGCCAACCAAGGTCTGTCTAGTCAAAGCTGTGGTTTTTCCAGTAGTCATGTACGGATGTGAGAGTTGGACTGTGAAGAAAGCTGAGTGCCGAAGAATTGATGCTTTTGAACTATGGTGTTGGAGAAGACTCTTGAGTGTCCCTTGGACTGCAAGGAGATCCAAGCAGTCAATCCTAAAGGAAATCTGTTCTGAATATTCATTGGAAGGACTGATGCTGAAACTCCAATACTTTGGCCACCTGATGTGAAGAACTGACTCATTGGAAAAGACCCTGATGCTGGGAAAGATTGAAGGCAGGAAGAGAAGGGGACAACAGAGGATGAGATGGTTGGATGGCATTATTGACTCAATGGATGTGAGTTTGAGTAAGCTCTGGGAGCTGGTGATGGACAGGGAAGCCTGGCATGCTACAGTCCATGGGGTCGCAAAGAGTTGAACACAATTGAGTGACTGAACTGAACTGAATGCTAGGCAGTGAACTGCATTGCTTAAGTGGGAGCCTTGGGGGACCATGAAGGAATCTGGATGTGAAATGGAAATGATGGGCCTATGGAGTGACGCTGCCCCTGCAGCTGGCAGAAGGAGCACCCCAAACCCACTCCTCGCGGGGAGGTGGAGTGGAGACTGTCAGGAGAGCATCCTACTGGCCAAGCTGGAGACCTGGCTGGGATTTTCCACCTGCTCTGACTCAGCTTCCTCCTTTCTCCTCCCCTCTGCTGTCTTTGCTGCTGCTGCTAAGTCGCTTCAGTCGTGTCCGACTCTGTGCGACCCCATAGACGGCAGCCCACCAGGCTCCCCCATCCCTGGGATTCTCCAGGCAAGAACACTGGAGTGGGTTGCCATTTCCTTCTCCACTCTGCTGTCTCTAGGCACCATCATTTCTCCCCTGAATTCGCCCTCTCACTGGTCTCCATGCCTCTGGAGCCCCGCTAGTCCCTTCCCAGGGTGGAGCTAGCGGATCATGCCGTTGCTCCTGCTCGTGTCCTCCACGGCTCCCTGCTTCCTTCCTTCCTTCCAAGAATGTGTATTGAGCTCTGGATCTGGGTAGATGCTGCCTTGTAATGGACACATCTTCCCTCTTCACCCCTTCCTTTCTCCACCCCCACTCTCTCCTGTCTCTGGCTGATCCATTTCTAGGGCTCTGGATCACATCTGTTAACAGACACTCCCAATTCATAAACTCACCTCCCGAGATCCTAACGGGCTGCCCTCTTGACATCTCCTGGCTGCCACAGGCATCTCAGACTTAACAAGCTCCAGATGAAATGTCTGTCCTGTCTCCCAGTTCCAGGCTCTCACTTGCCCTGCCTCTCCCCTCCCCCACCCTGTCCATTTATCAACCTCTCTGGTCAGCGTATCTGGCCCCTTGCCTCCTTTTCTGGGGTCAAGCCATGGCCACCTCTGACATAGATTTCTGCAACTGCCTCCTGACTGCCCCCACCCAACCCCCTTGCTCCTTCTAATAATCCATTTCCCCTGTGGGTGCCAGATGGCCATTTAGATATATCCATCAGATCATGTCACCCCTCTACTTAAAACCCTCTCTCAGAGGAACCCTCAGTGTATATTACTAAGTGACAGAGGCCAACCTGAAAAGGCTACACACTGTATAATTCCAACAGTATGACATTCTGGAAGAGGCAAAACTATGGAGACAGCAAAAAGATCAGTGGTTTCCAGGGTTTGAGGGAGAGGGAGGGATGAATAGGTGGAGCACAGAGGATTTCTAGGGAGGTGAAACTTTTCAGTGTTGTATGGTAATGATGGACGCACTCTACTACACGTTTGTCCAAATCCATAGAATATACAGCACCGAGAGTGAACCCTAATGTAAACTATGGACTTTGGGTAACAATGGTGTGTCAGTTCAGCTGAAACAAATGCTCCATCTGGTGGGGGATGATGATAATGGGGGAGACCATGCATGGGTGAGGGCAAGAGATTTACGTGAAATCTCTTAACTTTCCCTTCGTTTTGCTGTGAAACTAAAACTGCTCTAAAAAATAAAGTCTTTAGAAATGAGGGGGGAAACAAAGACTTTTTTAAACAAGCAGAAATTCAGAGGAATGAACTACAAGAAATGTAAGAGGCATTTCTTCAGGAGGAAAGAAAATATTAATAATAACCACATGGAACTTTGGGCTACACAAAAGAATAAAGAGAACTCCTAAACCTCAACAATACTCCAATACTTTGGCCGCCTGATGTGAAGGGCTGATTCATTGGAAAAGACCCTGATGCTGGGAAAGCTTGAAGGCAGGAGGAGAAGGACAGAGGATGAGATGGTTGGATGGCATCACTGACTCAATGGACATGAGTTTGAGCTAACTCCTG